TCCTTATTGGGTAATTTATGTAAGTTTATTCTCTGGACTTCTATTCTCAGTGTGCACTTTCCTAAGTCTTGCAAATTTTTGTGTCTGTATCAACTATGTCAAAATTAGAAAAATAAAAGATAGCTTCCTCATTCCTTATACCCCACTGGAATTAAAAAATCAATTATTCAAACGGCTAATACTTCCACTTAAATGTGATTCTTTTCATAAGATTATCAAAGGGAATTTCTTCCTTTCCATTCTGCAGCGTTATCTTGCCTTTGCTTGTGTTGCATGAACTGTTGTATTTGATCCTAATAATAAATTATCCCTCAAAAAACTGAAAAAAAAAGATTTTGATAAAAGAGAAATAAGGTCATTGGTCCTTCATTCCCTGACCACGTGGAAGAAGAGTCTAGAGAGCAGGCTGGAGGGAAAGGTTAGAGATACAAAAAATTAAAGGTACTGACTCATGAACAACAGTTGCAACTCCTTAGCCTGTATTTGATTTCAGTCAAAGCTCTGAAGAACAGATGGCTGATAAAAACTCTGTGGTTGAAGACCAGCCTCGGGAGGTTGCTGCTGGGAAGAAGGATTGCATTGTCTAGTGGACTCCAAAAGATGTGTGGTATTCTTTGGGAAAAATATTTTCTCCACTTTACTTGTGCCCAGAGACTCTGCCTGAGAGTGATATGTAGGCCAACAGTAATATAATTTGAAAAACAAATCTCAATAAATGTAACTTTTGTATCTGATAAGGTCAGTCAAATCCCTTCAGGATTTGTCCTGAAACCCTGTGCCACAGTTTGTAGATCCTTTGTAAGTGTCAGCCATGTGAATGAGTAATGGCCATTGCTTGACCAATGTGCTCCCTGTGAAAGCCTGAGAGAATGTTTTCTCTCCATGTGTCTCTCCTTAGGTACACTCTACATTATTGATCACTTTTCTCTGTAGCCCTATAATCTCCTTGATCAGAAAATGAGTCCTCACTGATCTTGAAAGGCTAGGACAAAAATTTTGGCTTTCCCTGAGGCCTTCCTTTTTCTCTAATTTTTGGTCTTACTTTATCTGGGTCTTAACCATCAAGGAGAGAAGTATAAAAAAGAAATTTAAAAAGTAAATCCATATTAATAGGCTAAGCTTTAAAAGGCTCAAGTCAACAACTTCTGACATTACCAGTCCTATGGAGAACTCACTACTATTATGGACTACTGGATTATATTTGTATATTTTGTTAATTTCATGCATCTACAATATTTAAGTGACTATTGAATACCATTTTCTGACAAAACTAGACAAAAAAGGGGGTACAAATGAAGGACCATTTTGTATCTTTATATCGAAAATAGTTCAGATATATATTCAGCTAGTTTCTCTTAATTCAATGAACAGAAAGATTTGTTCTAATAATGTTTGTGGACCGGATATCATGTCTGCATCTTGTACTATGAATAACCACTATGAAGACAACAATATGCAATGTATTAATTATTGAAACTGTCCTACTAATGGGTTTTGAAACTGTCTCATTGCTATTTGTTTCTCAATAAAATTATTTTTTTAAATGAAGAAATTTCAGGTCAGTCTAATGTTAAGGTGATTGTCTGGTTACTTCTGGGGACTTTTATCCAGATTTATGTTGAGATCATAAAAAGAATCCTGGAAAGCCCTATAATGGGTTTCATTCTCTGGTCTTGTTTACAGTTCAGTGCGGGAAAGCAAAGAAAAAATAAGAGTTCTGAATAGAGGGGTGGATTGGAGTCCCCTGGGAGGCCAGTTACTCTGTAAGTCAAAAGGTCATGAGGCACCTGGACACTTGGTGTGTGTGTTCATTATATCTGACTCAAGGATAATGACTGAAAGGCAGTGTGATTCTGGAGACAAGATTGATGACACAGTGAATTAGGAATATTAAGACATTTGTGCAAGAAAAAAAGAACAAAGACAAGGAGAAGAATGAAACAGATGGACTGTAAGGAAACTAGTTTCCATCCAGGTGTGGTGGTGCATATCTATAATTCCAGAACTCAGCAGTTGAAGAAGGAGAAGCAATGCAAATTCCAGCCAGTGTGGGCTACAAAGTGAGTTCATGGCTAGCCTGAACTACATAGTAAAACCGTGTCTTCAAAAAATAAGAGGAGGGGCCGGGGAGATGGCTCAGTGGAATAAGTGCTTCCCTGGCAAGCGCAAGGGCCTGAGTTCAATTCCCGGTTCTGAAAAAAAAAAAAAGAGGAGACTAATTTCCTCATGGGCATTATCATCTATATCAGATCTTATCCTGCCCCGTGAGGTTCACAACAATCATCATCTCTAGGGCTTCCAACCTTGATCGGAAAGAGGGGTACTGCTGTTTCTCCATTCCAATCAGGCACACAAGGGATAGACAAGGGCAATCTTGGATGTCAGCTAGACTCATTTTGCAACACATGGTCCCAAAAATGTGTGTAGCTATTGCAAAAGCTTCAAAGGTCTTTGATTAGTTCAAATTTGAGCATGCTGATTCATTGAAATTTAAGGCTATGATAGTCCCACATTTAATCCGGCTAACTGGTATCAAGTCATGCCCTCAATTTGTCATATTAGGGCCTGGGATTGGTCCAAATTGGTCTACATCCAGGACCAAGATCTGACAACACCTATTGATCCCAATGCAGCTTTGCTACTAAGTTTCAATTCAAGCCTAGTGTTGTTAGAGTGAACACCTCCTGGACTGGTGCAAGCCATCCACACTCACTGCAAATTTTATAGGGGAAGTTCAAGTTTAGGTCACAGAGAGATGCCAGCGCTGGATTTCCATGTTCCATGTGTCCAAGAGAATGGCTCACAATGCTGTGCAACATTCAAGAGAGCCTGCTGTGACCTCAACTCTTTGAGTACAGGAGAAAATTGACCTGAGACCTCGCTGATCCCTTCCACACTATAGGTGGATTCCAGGCTACTACTTTAGAGGTGAGAGCAGCATTTGGCTTGGTGAGAGTGGGAGATTTATACTGTAGGTGATAACCTTGCAGCCCCTTCATTCAGGGTGCCCCAGAGTGCAGATGTGAAGTAAGCTTAGAATTGACAGTGGTACATGGAGGCGGGATGTCAATATCAACCTTGGGGAGCCAAGAGGGAACAAATGGAAACAACATGGGATGGGGAGATAGCTATTGGCCACCCTCTTCTCTGGCCATCACATGTAAAAAGGGTGAGTCAGGGGCCTCTTTCTCTGACTGGTCTCTGCTTCAGCACTGGAAACCTGAAGAAGCACCACTGGGAATGGTTCCTCCAGGGAGTCTGCATGGAAGCCTGCTGAAATATAGTACCTTGACACTGTGTGCTTTGTCCCTGGTGTGGGAAAGCTAGGGGGGACATGTTGCTGAGGATGCCCATGTCCCACAGGAGGTGAAGTCTATACTTGCCCGTGCTGGGTTTCACACACTCATTCCTAGTCTTTACTTTTTCAGTGTGGCTGGAATGATCCTCCTGGCTCCCTCTCCAATGTGCTCCTGAACTTTTGGTCACCCTATTTTTGTCCCCCCCCCCAGTCCCAGGTGTGAACATCCTCTCACATTGCTTATTGTACTCTACAGTCTCATGTTAAACAAAGAGAAGAGAAATGAAGGCATGGGAAATGTTTGCATCAGAATCTTCAAATGGATTATCTTTCCTTACTCAACTCAAGCCCAGCATGAAGCCCACAGCTCCACTTCCCACAGCCAAGCACTTGAACTCTGCTAATTATTATCGCAGAAGTGTATGCCCGTGTGTTCACATGCATGTGCGTGGTTGCACGTTTTCTAAACATTTTCCCCATCTTCTCTCTTTATCCCACTTTCCTTCCCTATCTTGCTATTCCGTATGACCTGGATTTATTAACAGATTTTTTTTTGCAGAACCAGGGATTGAACTCAGACCCTTGCGCTTGCTAGGGAAGTGCTTATTCCACTGAACCATCTCCCCAGGCCCATATTAACAGAATTCTAACTCATGTTTTATATATATCCTTTCTCTTTTTAGATTATTGTATTTTTTAGGTTTCACTTTTGGAAAATTATGATATTCTCAGTCCCAGAATAATTTCTTTTGTATGTTGCATGCTCCTGCTCTGCTTCCTCTTGCCTAATACAACAGTGAGAGGTAAGCTACTGTTCTTTAAATATTTTCCTTTTCCATCAATTCAGCTCCCACTAGCTCAGCTTGTCCCATGTGTTCTTTTCCTCTTTCCTGCTTTCCTCTGAGCTTACACAGCTGTGGCTGCAAGTCTTGTCTACCTCTGTGCTGTCCACTGTTGTCTCAAGCACTGTAGTGACCTAGTTTGATTAAACCCTAGATTCCTCCTTGTTCATGTGATTTTGGGAGGTGAGAATCCTATATTCTGACTTCCACCATCCCTGAAGGAACTCTACAGGCATTGTGGACTACACAACTTGAGCCATGAAACCTGGGCCACTGTTCTCCAAGGTAATTTGGGGCAAGTACACTGGTATCCCCACTGTGCATCAGATGTCCCAAGAACACAAAGATGTACAACATCTCAAAATCAACAATCAAATTTACACACTTGAAAAGTCCACTTTCAATCTTATTAAAAATAAGAAGGGCTGGCCAAATAGTTCAGTGGATTAGAGAGCCTACAAGTAGACACAGGGGCCGGGAGTTCGGTCCCTGAGTCTGCTGTGCTGGCCCCACCTCCAGGGCACCTGAGACAGCAATTGAGACTGGGCATGGTGGCACATGCCTGTAATCACAGCTCTTGGTGCATGCTTGTAATCACATCAACATTCTCAATGAAGTTTACAGCTCTTGGGAGGCTGTAAACAGGCAGATCACTAGTAGTCTGATCTAGTAGTGAGACCATGAACACCATGTAGACCCTCCTCTAAAATACAAAAAAATAAAATAAAATAAAATAAACAAAGGAATGTTTCATCTCAATATATTGGTAAATATTAAAAATGATCCAACAGCTGTTGATAATAGATGCAGCCTAAAGGCAGATTTGGAAGATTGGGTTGCACTCTTGGTCCCAAGATCATTCACATCTCGCTGCTATAGATAGTGGTATCTATCCAACATGTGAATTTGCAGACGTTGGTGTAGACTCTTGGGAGTCCAGGTTGACCACAATTGAATTCTGAAGAAACAATGCCCTGTAGAAACCCATGACAGACAAAGGGCTCTCCATAGTCTCCCTGTTAAGAGAAGAGAAGAGAAAGTTAGGGAAGGTGGAGAGAAGCAGGGAGGAAGACACACATACAGAGCCAGCACAAAGAGGCAAAGTAGGGTGAGAGAGCAGGGCAGAAACATCCATTGAGAGAGTGAGAGGGCAGCACTGAGAGCTGAAGCCAGAAGCTGGGGAGTGATACCTAGAAGTCTTAAGAGACACATGGGGTGCAGAAGGCAGAGGTGAGGGGGAGACATATTGAGAGCCTGGTGATTACCCAGGTCCGTGCAGGCACAGACAACAAAGTGCTCACTGGAGGAAATGCCTTTAAAACTCAAACCTCCACACCATAGCATTGTACACAGACAAGGCCAGTCCTGCCTCTTGAACACCAGATCTCCCTCCCAGGCATTGGAAAGCTTCCCTCGGGAGCTCCACTTCTGCCCGCATCTACTTTTCTGGACCTGGCTGGGGTAGAGTGGGAGGGGCAGACTGGTTGAGCATGAAATTTGGGCTGGAAGCCACTGGAGTTGAACGTGGAGCTGTGCTTGGCAGTAGGGCTGGGATCCTAAGTGAAGTCACCATTCTGTTCCTACAGCTTGAGCCTCCTTCTGTCACTCCTGTAAATTCCTTTCTATCTTCTGACACTCAATGCCTCTTCTCTGCGTGGCTCTGCCAGCTCCTTCCTTCTCTCTGGCACTCCTTGTCTTTCTCTGTGGCCTTTGTATCCTGTATCTCCAGTATTCTGCTCACCTTCCCAGTTTCTTCTCTATTTTTGTACCTACATCTTTCTCATTGTACTTGGAGGCTTGAGAGTTTCCCTTGTATCTTCATGGCCTTTTGTCCAATGTGGGCTTTGCACTCCCTGTTGTGCACCAAACACCTGCCTTTCTCTCCCAGTCTCTTACCTGGCAACTATTCCTGTTGCCTTCACCACCAGCGCAGAATATACTGTCCTCATACATGTCCCCAAACACTGCTTTGCAGGTCTTGGGTGAATGCACTCGAAGAAGCGTACAGTGCAGGGCGTCAGTATATTGGACTGTAAGAAAGGAGACAAATTCAGGAACACTTCCAGTCAGAGACAGCCATGGGTATCAGCGAATCCAGAGACAGGAGCCCCAAAACTCACAATCTAGTAGTCGACCCCAGGCAGAGGCCAAGCACGTGCTTCCAGTTATCGGACAAGTGGAGACGATGGGGATCTTACGGACAGTATCTGATTGCACAGCTGGTTTGCTCAACTTGATGAGCATAAGGTCAGGAGATCCGGAGGAACTTGTGTTAAAATATGGGTGTTGCACAGAGAAATTGGCCTCAATCATCTGGACGCCTCGTCCATATGGAGGGGAAAGTCTTTGCAGACCTAGCCCAATGGTGTAGGATCTGAGGATGATGGGACCATCAGTACCACAGTAATTAAGCCATTCCAGAATCCCAAACTACATGCAGGGACAATTTCAATCCTGGTGCCACTTCTCACTCTATCCTCAACATCAGACTAATCCCTGTCTTCATTTCCAGCCTCCACCATGCCCAGATCCATCCGTGGTGCCAGCCTCATCACCTCTTGGACAACATCCAAATCTCACCCCAACTTGTACTCCCAACTTCACCTTACATCCCATCTATTACACTTGTGACAACAGAAGGATGGGCTAAGATGTAAGTGTAGGGAACCTCTAACGCTAAAAAGCAAGATGAATAGTATTTCAATATAATATCTTTAAAATTCTAAATTAAGGCAGAAAATCCACCATCAGCAAATATGATAAACTATAGAGAAGATGGCATCTGACACTGCAACTCGCCCTACCACACACCCCTGGATCCTATCTTATTTGCAGAGTGGGTATTTTACTCGTTATGAATGTTTGCATTATTATTACTTTGTTTAAAATAGTGCCCTGAGATATTTATCCCAGTGAGGGAGCTATTGCATTGTCTTACCCAATACACTTCCCTGAAGCCACATGAATACCTTGCTCCGCATCCACCAAGCTCTTTCCTCACCTGTCTCTATCCCTTGACCCATGACTCATGCACCCAGGTGACAAGATATCACTTATCCACGCCACTGGCTCTTTTAAGCAGGACTGTGATCCAGGCCTGCTTGCCTCAAGCTATCTCCTCCTCTGCAGTTTTGTACCTTTGTCAACCCCATGGATGTGTGTGAGTTCCCTTCCCCATGCTGGAGTCTCTGCTTGTCCCTCAGACCCAACCAGAGAGGGGATTGTGGCTGCAATCTGTGGAAGGGGCTCTCCCAGCCAAGCCTCCCCTTTGACTATAGTTCCACCCTTGAACCACACCAGTGTGGGTTTTACACAAAATTTAATCCCTGGCCAAGTCCAGCCTTTGGGCTAGAACTTACTCCCTGGCCCAGCCCCTCTGCAATGCTGGATCCTCAGCCTAGGATACGACTCTGCTCTCTCATCTCAAATGCCAGTCCACATGCTTCCACCCAAGAAAAGTCCCCCTCTCATCTAGCCCTCTGCCTATCCCCCAAGACAGTCACTCTCCCCTGAGCTTGCTCACGGTTGCCAGCATTGTGCAGCTGTCAGCACCCACTCGGGATGCACCAGAGCTCCAGAGCAGTTCACAGTGTTGTTGACGAACAGTACTGCCCTCCAGGGCTGTGAGTGTGGAGAGCAAGGAACGCCACCAGAGACTTTTTTGCTGACCGGTGGTAGCTCAACTGGGACCTCACTGCTCTTTTCTTCATGGGGAAACACAGCTCCTGGAGGCAGGATCAGAAGACAGTTGATCTGTGAGTGGGTGGGTTCCGGTGAGAGCCTAAATTGGATCACAATGTGGTCCTGTGGCTCAAGGTTAGTAAGTAATAACTTATATCAGGAGGACCATGCATGGGCTGGGTATGAGCCTCTACTTCTGGGGATCAAGAAGGACAGTTCCACAGCTAGACCAATCTTCTCGGCCTTAGGCTTTAAAGCTGTGCCCAAACATACAAGGAACCTTCCCCACAAGGAGTGGCTGTGGCTAGCATAGGATGGAGGCCATCATGCCTCAGATTCTGTCTGCTGGACGTGCAAAGTGGACAAGAGGGCACAGGACACAGTCATTCATGGAAATCACCCTCCCCTGCTAGACTTCAACCCTCTGCAAGCCACCTTCTCCAAGGACTCAGCTGCAATTACCTCTACAGGTAGGGAAGCAGCTGCCATACTCAACTGCCAAGTGGGGCAGAATGTTCTAATACGGTGCTGTCTTGGTGCAAATTACAGCTAACTTCAGGGCTCTGGCCCATGCTGGCAGGGGGAGGATTTGTGTTTAGACTGTATATTCTAAGCTACTTTCAGATTATCCTTTGAAATGGGGAAACTGTGGCACAGAGCCATTAGAGACTTTGCCCAGCTGTGAAGAAAGGATGCTGTGCTCTGCACACATTCCCAGCATCCCTACAGCCTGCTTTTTTTTGTCTGGTATCACACAGACCCCCAGGTAGCCTACAGTCTAGGCAGGATTTTACACTATAGGTGCACATAGCAGACCTCATACCCCCACACTCAGGTACCTGCAGCCATGTGGATGATGTATCCCAGGAGACAGATACAGAGGGTTTGTGCTGTGGTCTCCATGTCAGCACCTGGTGGGGAGAGGAGGAGGTGACTCTGGGGCTTTCTTCACACTTCCTGGATCAGCCAAAAAGTACCTGTCCAATAGGGATTCAAAGACACTTGCCACAGAGCCATAACATAGGGCAGAGTTTCTCATCCTCTGCATTTCTAGATTCCTTGGATGCAAGGCTGAGCATGGGCCAAGGACACCCCTGCAAGCCCCCAATGCCCTGAGACAACCCTTTGCCCACTCCTGACTGTTAAGTGGTAAGCTGTCATGCTGGGCACTGCCCTGTGTACTCATGTCTCTGTTATACCTCTTTTCAGATGCTCCCTTCCCACTCATGACTCAGGAGGGACAACCAAATGGGTGACTCACTGCCCATTTCCAGGGAGCAGACAGTGTGAGCTCTACCTGAGAGGAGAGAGAAAAGCAGGAAGACTGAGGAAGGATGGTAGTGGCCTGCAGAGACACAGAGACTATGCATGAATCATGGAGCAGGGAAGGTGGGAACTAGACACAGAAGTCTCATGGACACTAAACTGAAAGGTACTGAAATGGAAATACATGTACTCAGAGCAGAGTTTCAGGGCTCTGCCTTGTGCCCACACACTGCACTCAGCACGGGACACCAGGTGACTCACTGTTACAGCTGGTTCAGGGGCAGATCCTGTGAGTATACCCATTTCACAGAGGGAAAGAGCCACAGAAAGACTTAGTATCAATTGGAGAAGGACACTAGAGACTGTGCACTTGAAACCTCACTGAAAATGTTCATGATGACACCATCTGTACTAGAGAGCACTTGAACAGGATCTTAAACCCCTGGTGTACTTCAGTCAAAGCAATGGTGAAAAGTCAATAGACACACATAGTGGGACAGAGACAAGAAAGAGGCTCGAACTCAAAGAGCAGGAAGAATAGAGCAAGGCTCAGGCTGAGAGAATACAGGTCCTTCACCTACTTCAGCTCCTGAAGTCGTCTTGCACAGATGTCTTCTTCTGGCTGGCCTCTTTGAGCTGCTTGCTGTCCAGACTTCCTGAGTTTTATGAGGATTGGAATGTGGGCAGGCCTGCCTTGGCCTGCATGAAACATTAGAGCCCAAGGGTAGCACTTGTCTGGACTGACCTCATGTGAGTGTCCTGTTCCTAATGAGATCAGGGCTCAGGGAGTAGGATTTTGAGCCTTGGGGAAGGAGAGCTTGTGACTGGGACCCTCAATGAACTGACTATGTGGGTGCACTCTTGTGCTCACTTGAGGCACTGGCTCTCTCCCGAATCTACTTTTTCTACTCTTATGCTTCTAGTCTCACAGAGTTTCTGCTTTGAATTCCTTTCCTTTGTAGCTCTTTTGTGTATACTGTCTATATTAAATTAAGCAAATGTATACAAAATCAAGATATTCAACACATATATGTATGCACATGTGCATGTGTGTGTGTGTGTGTGTGTATGTGTGTGTATTCAAAACAGCATTTTCTCAGTGAGCTCATGGGTGAGCACCTTTTTAGTTTATGAGGGGTCAGAGTCCACGTTGCCCAGGCTGGGTTTAAAGTTGAGATACTTCTGCCTCAGTTTCTCAGATAACTGTGATTAAAGGTATGAGGCACTGCAGGAAGTGTATTTTTCCTATAGACCCACCAGGCCTGCTATACTCCACCTGCCCCCATATTATGGCCACACCAGATGCCTCATTGTTGAAATCTCCAGGCAGGTTCTTAAGCAGATAGATAGATAGCTGATCCTTTTGCCTGATGTCTCCCTGGGCCTCCTGATTTTTCCTCTAAAACTATTTGCGGTATGATTGACCTCATGCATCAAACTGTTCCTTTAGGTCAAGACTCTGCAAATTCTGTCCTATCTATTATGTGTAACTCACATGGGGTGATCACAACATGGAACTGTCCTTCACCTGCCAAGGCTGTCCTGTGTCCCCTCCAACCACTTGGTCCTGGAAAATGCTGATCTTTTATCAGCCCCCATCACTAGTACTTTTGAGAATTTTGGATATGATGTCCTGCTGTTCACAGTGTAAGCATTCTCCCCTTGTTTGTCCTTGTGTGTGTACCGTGCTTCCTCCCATTTTCACATGAAGAGGACTTGAGGCTGTGCCTGGACCTGTTTATTTATCCACTGCCCAGTTTTTGGATGTCTGGATCCATCCTTCAGCATCATGTGGTTCCCTCATCCGTGGCCCCTTATTAACTTACAAGTTGGGATTTGTATTAATGTGCCATATTCTGATGTCACATGGTTGTACTTAGTTTATCACAGAATTGATCTATTCCATGTAATATCTATATCTCTCAGCTCCAAAGAGTTGACAGGAGTCTTTGTAAGTAGTGTTCTCTGGTTCATTCTAAGTCTCTGACAGCACACATGTCTCATAGTGGGTGCTTCATTAGTGCTTGATGAAAGATGAAATTGACATGAAATGACTCTGAAATGAAAAGATTCTGACAGTGTCTTTCAATATGCA